ACGTCATCAAGAATAAACAACATTGCTACGGTTGGTTATTCGGGTTGGGACGCATACCTGATTTGGAGATATAAATACACCTTATTATAGTTGAGTATAGGAATTATACACATCTCAGTTAAGTATTTTTGTTTCGATCAGGGAAGCCTTCAAGATTCAAATACTTGCTTGATCTGTATTTCATTCGTTATTCTCGGGATGGATAACTTGTTTTTGAATAATCACGGCAAGCAATAGTTTTTTTGTCTCAAAGAACGATATTGTTCTGCTACATTTGATTATCAAGTCAAACAAAGTGTAGTATGGAGAGGAATAAATATTCACTATTATCATTGTTAATATGCTCACTAACCTAACATTTTCCACGTCTTGTTCCTATAGCTGGTACTGGCGCGGTATTTGCCATTAGAGCACCTGGTCCATACACAAAATTTGTCACTCTGTGGTTGGATTAATATTGAAACTACAAATTGAACATCCTTGAAAACCTAACCTGCTGTTAATGCAGGTAGAATATTCCCACCACACGGATTATTTGTCAATATTTGTTGCATTGCATACATATGGCACGGCAATGGTGGTTACTTCACATATTTATTTGAGTTAATTCTCGCAAATTTTGCTTTCGCTCGGCTTCGCTAAACGCTCCACCTCGCAAATGCAAAATTCGCTTGTCAAACAAAGTGTCACTTTTGATCCTAATAAATTAATATACTATTATTGTCCTCGTATTGTTTCATTCGATATACCTAGGGATGGCCTTGGTCGCATACCATAATTATATATAAAAAAATGAAATGAGAGAAAACAAGAAATCATATTTAACCTTGAGGCTCCTCACTTGGAGGTCAAAATTATGATTGAAAAAAAAAAGGAATGCCTTATCTGGTTACCTCTTAATTCGATCAAAAAATCGTTTCGAGTTGTATAAAAAAAACGAGATGAAATACTACCAACTATGGAGCTAGCCGTTCGACGCCAGAATCGAAATCGAGTCGAAATAATTTATGACAATTATTGTCTTTATCCCTTCAGTCGTTCAGCACCATGCCGGTCTTAGCGGTTTTTTTATTCAAGTATGAAAAAATACATAAAAAATCGTTTCTAGCAGTATCGAAGAGGAAGTATCAGTACATTCTTCAGTCCTTCGAGACCAACATATTGATTGAAAAAAATGTCTGAATTATCCTTATATTCGTTCATTCGTTCAGCTTGGTGCGGGATTTGGCAAACCTTTCATCCTCATTAAAATCGTGTCGGGATGTATAAAAGAGAACAAGCCAAGATTTTCAATCGTGGAGCAGGTTTTTTGAATCCAAAATATTGGTTCAAATTGAATTATTTTCGCCAGATGATTTCAGCAGATGGAGTGGAAAAAAATCAAATGAGTTTTACTTCAAAAATTTTATTCAACACTTCAATAGTATACATTTATTCAATTATAGTATGGAAAATCATCTTATTCATAACGATATTGAATAACATAATTAATAAATGATGCAATAATATCAATAACATTCAATAAATGGAATCTTCGGTAAAACATATTCGAGGTAGAAGATAACAATTTCATTGTGAATAATTTCAGTATGAACAAAGTGGTAATATTTGAAGAGATGATCAGAATAAGCTAACCAAAATCACCACAAATATAACAGATAATTTTTCAACCAGTATTCGTATTTCCTTTGTCCTCAAAAATATTGATGTTAATGGTGTTGAAATAGGATGATGAGTTGTAGACAACATAATAGGAAAATCCTTGGCACTATAGTGAGTAAGTGAATAACTGAAACCTGTATTTTCATCAATGTGGAAGGAATCTCATGAATCTATCGAGCTTTTGCATGTCTTCTCCAAATACATCAATCTCAGTTTGAACTTCAAAATTTCCACCGAATTCGATACTTCAAGTTAAAATTATACCAGTATGAAAAATGATACGAATAAATGTGATGATGAAATACTGGTTCACAAACCCAAATGAATAACCAGCATGCACTAGTGTATAGATACACCGAAAACAATCAACATTTTTGATAACATTCATCAGGTTTCATAATCTACCTGTGTCACATGGTATGCACGTAAAAAACCACCTACCACTAAATTATTTAAAATATACATTTCCAATTGGTACAAACGTCAGTTTGTTTCTATATCAACAGCGTGTATAAGCTCAATAGGTGGTCTTCACATTTTACGAAAATCACTACAGCGAAAACCTTATTTTTCATTCTTCATTCATAGTATGGTAGATGCCTCGAAGGATGCTGAATATCTTTATAAATATTTCAAGTGTGGTATTTATTGAAAATTATAGCAAAAGCCCTCCGAATTTCCTGAATGAAACTGGTTCAAAATGGTTAATCTGAAATATAATTCGTCTCTAAATCAATGAGAGAATGATGGTGCCAACATCTTCCTAATTTATGGACAAAACAGTACAACAGTGATGGTGGATGCATAACGTCAACACAACAATTTCAAGTTTGACAGAAATGTGACAGAAGCACATATACGTATTAGTAAACAATACGGATCATAACGGGTGCCAGGCATATACGTATTAATAATCAATACGGATAATCTCTGTCTGTTTCCATAGCGAAACATGAAGCCAATTTTTGAAGACAAATGACTATCCATAAGGAAAAGTTTTGAAACGATCAGACACATACTGCTTTGATTGAAAGGCTAGTAAACGTCATTGTCCACCAAAACGCATGTCTTTGATGACTACTATAATAGCGCATGGCGCATGCGTATCATGCCACCAAATCCTTATGGATATTCATTTGTTTCATATTTTTGGCTGGCACCTGGCACCCGTTATGATCCGTATTGTTTATTAATACGTATATGGTGCCAGGATGAAGCCAAAAATATGAAACAAATGAATATCCATAAGGATTTGGTGGCATGATACGCATGCGCCATGCGCTATTATAGTAGTCATCAAAGACATGCGTTTCGGTGGACAATGACGTTTACTAGCCTTTCAATCAAAGCAGTATGTGTCTGATCGTTTCAAAACTTTTCCTTATGGATAGTCATTTGTCTTCAAAAATCGGCTTCATGTTTCGCTATGGAAACAGATAGAGATTATCCGTATTGATTATTAATACGTATATGCAGAAGCATAGTAAATTTGCTGAAGAGAATGAGAAAATCTTCGAATCAAGTTACTGTGTCATATGTATATGTCTTAAGGCCGTGCCTCACGGTCCAACAATTTGATCAAATTTGTTTGATGTGACGTCATTGTTGCCTGTCTGACTCTGATTATTTGAAATGTCTAGAAATCTTTGTCACATGATTTGGAGATTTTTGAACAAAAATATTGGTTAAGAAGGTTCTCTAAAATGGAAAAAAATCACAGGAAAAAATCAAATAAAAATTCATTATACGTTATCAAAAGTATTTCGTTTTGTATTTGTAATACAGTGATTTCAAAAATGGCTACAAAGAAGAAATATTGGTAGACGAGTCCTACCTATGATTTCTGATGGAGTCAGACTGAAAGTTATTCCATAGTAAATTTCAAAACTACCTACCTAAAAATGGAAGGGAGATATCAATCCACATATGCTCGTGAACGTATACCTGCAGAAATGAGGTGAGATCATAACAGAAACTCTAGTCAACCAAGTAAAATGAATACATTTGGGATTGGAGCAAGAAAAAAATATTCCTTTATCGATTTAAATAATGGCGAAAGGAAAATTATATCGCCAGATAATTACTTTCGATAAAATGGTGGATGCGGAGCGCTCTCACCAAAATTTGAAATACAATAATTGAAATTGTGGCGGATGCTCACAGTAGATATTCAGATTCCGATCGACCACGTACTGACAGGAAATTTCGATATTTCTCGAAACAAAACGCATCCTTGGTCTGTTTAAATTATAAATCATGAATACCGTTATCTCTACTCGTTTCGAATATCATTAGCTAGATCTTTGGGTTATGATTTTGAACGTTTGTTCTGTAATGATGTCGAATTTCTTTAAACACTTTGTAACTAGCACAGGATACCTCAAGAACACTGCATGCATCAGAGCATCACCATATTATTATCAAGTTGTTCAAGATAATATAGTCACCTCAACTATTGACCACCTGTTGAACGTACACACACTTTTTGCGTTCACAGCAAATGGACTGAGAACGATTGTCGCATCAAAATAACAATGAAAAATGAGTCACGTCACTCTTACCACCGTACCATATTGTTCTTGATGATATTGTCTCCCGATACAGAGAGGCTCTCTTCCGTCGTTATTACATTCTGGATATCTTTGTCTGATACTTCCTGAACCATCTCTAACGGCTATCGAGTTGATGATAATTATTTTCCTTATTCTTCATTCAAAACATATAACTCTATCTAATTTGAGTTTATTACTGCGGTATTTGGATTCTTAGAAATCTGATTCTGAAACGGCGATAATATATTATTTCAAATATCAAAGATAATGCTACTCTTTGGTATAAGCGGAAACGCTTCTCAAAAAAATTACCGTACCACCAAAAAGTACCCAAAATGGACGAGATGATCTTATTACAGACGGAAGCTCTTTCCCCAGCATTCGACTTCTAGCTGCAAGCTTGAGAAATTTGTCATAAAATTATGAGGCAATTTGCAGTTGTCAAAGTAGATCGTGTTGTCATAGTGATTGATAATTGCACTGAATGCAGTTATCAACATTTACTTTCGTCGAAATTATACTTGTTTGTTTGAACGTTTTTTGTTTTGAATGACAGGTTATTTCTCTCTGAACATTGTTAGGCAAGCCGTATTCGCATAAAAACCTTTTTTATGCATACCGGGTGTAGCAATTACAGCGTGTTTCATTCATGAAATTAGTAATACCCTGAATAGTGTAATAATTGCACTATTAGGTTAAAATTGAAAATACACTCCAACCTAATTTTCATTCAACATTTTTCTCTCGGATTCACTCCATTATCTTTTCTATATTACTCAAAAAAGACCATTTTATAGCGTGATTTTAAGAAACATTATTTTCATGCAACCATTCAAAGAAGGTTGCTTGTGCTTATAGTGCTGATTGAATTTAATGAAATCATGTTTTGCCATAAAATTTTGTTTCTGGCCTATAAGGAAAGGATGGAATAAGGAGGTGAATATAAAACAAGAATGTAGAGGAAAGATGAGGCTAATGTGTACTTTCAATTTCAACTTGATAACGTTAACTGTTACTCTCCACAAGATATAAAACATTTCATGAATAAAACACGCTATAGCTGCTTCACCCGGTATTCATGAGAAGAAGGTTCGTATGCAAATACAGTTTGCACGCCAATATTTGGAAGATGATAATCTGGGAATCGAGATTAAAATCGTCCAAATCGGACGAGTAGTTTCGACGAAAATGTATCCCAAACTTTTGATACTTTGTGGTGGTACGTTGAAGAAGTGTATTATTCATCGTTATATAAGTGCTATATTGAAATAACCAGACTTTCAGTATACTTCATTGTCCTGTTTTCCATACCTGTCTGAGGTACTTATCGATTGTGAGACACCCTGTATAATGTTATATTGTATCAGCCGTAACTCAATTCTGATACCACTTCTTGCATGAATAAATAATATTAAATCCTTCAACACTTTATCCAACTTTGAAGACTCAGTTATTCAACTTTTCTCAACTTTTTTCCAACGTATCTATTATGCCCACTCGGATGCGACGATCATTCTCGTCCATATGTCAATAAACCGTGTTGGACATCACCAAATCGCCGATACATTTATTCGCATCTCCTACCTAACACGTCGTTTTATCACAGTTCGCTGGTCCCGGCCGCGCTCGGCAACGTTCGGTTCACCACGTCGGGCCCGCTCGGGTGGCCGAGCTCGCCCTCGAACTTCCACAAGATGGCGCGGTCGGGCAGGTGCTGCACCACGTCGCAGGCGGCTGAGACCGAGCCGCCGCGGCCCAGCGAGGCGCTCTTTGAGCCGCCCGGGTCGGGGCAGGGGACGGCCCTGTAGTTGAGGGTCGCCGCCTTCTGTGGCCTGGAAATGAATAGTAGATTGTTTTATTAGGATCAAAAGTGACACTTTGTTTGACAAGCGAATTTTGCATTTACGAGGCGGAGCGTTTAGCGAAGCCGAGCGAAAGCAAAATTTGCGAGTCGAACAAAGTCACTCTTGATCCGAATGAAACATGCTATTTTTTCTGCAACCGAAACAATTAACTCAAATAAACATGTGAAGTAACCACCAATGCCGTGCCATATGCATGCAATGCAACAAATATTGACAAATAATCCGTTGGTGAGAATATTCTACCTGCATTAACAGCAGGTTAGGTTTTCTAAGATGTTCGAATTGTAGTTTCAAGATAAATACAATCACAGAGTGACATATTTGTGTATGGACCAGGTGCTCTAATGGCAAATACCGCGCCAGTGCTAGCTATAGGAACAAGACATGGAAAATGTTAGGTTAGTGAGCATATCAACAATGATAATAGTGATTATTTATTCCTCTCCATTCTACACTGTGTTTGAATTGATAATCAAATGAAGCTAAACAATATCGTTGTTTGAGACAAAAAAACTATTGCTTGCCGTGATTATCCAAAACCAAGTTATCCATCCCGAGAATAACGAATGAAATACAGATCAAGCAAGTATTCGAATCTTGAAGGCTTCCCTGATCAAAACAAGAATACGTAACTGAGATATTTATAATTCCAAAACTTAACTATAATAAGGTGTATTATTTATATCTCCAGCATGGGTATGAAATGCCAAATCTGCTGAAATCGGAAACAAATCAGGTATGCGTCTCAACCCAAATAACCAACCGTCACAATGTTGTTTATTCTTGATGACGTCCAGTACATCCTTTTTAGTTCCTAGGAGCTAAAGTTCAACTTTAGCTCCTATAGGAACTAAAATTCAACTTTAGCTCCTAGGAACTAAATATGTTGCCTAGCAACATACCTGTTTTTGTGTCAGTAATAGAAACGTCCATTTAAGAGCTAATTTTGGTATCAAAATGAACGACTTTTGTGTCGGTTGCAGAAAAAATATGTTTTTCAGAGTTGAAATGTTCGACATATTTCAGGAATTATCTGTAGGTTTTTTCCACAGAACTCATGATCTTTATATCTTAAGACTGGAAACCGCGATCCTCTGGTTTCATACCAAAGGACCCTGAAAATTCAAAGGTGAATTGGGTCCCAGTGGATTTTTCCCGATTTTTGGTATGATGTAGTTCATGTGGTTCTATAATAGTAGATTGTTTTATTAGGATCGAAGTGACACTTTCTTTGACAAGCGAATTTTGCATTCACGAGGCGGAGCGTTTATATCGAAACCGAGCAGAAGCAACATTCGCGAGTCAAACGAAGTCACTTCTGATCCGAATGAAACATGCTATTTTTTCTGCAACCGAAACAATTATCTCAAATAAATATGTGAAGTAACCACAAATGCCGTGCCATATGTCAGCAATGCTACGAATAATCCGTGTGGTGAGAATATTCTTCCTGCATTAACAGCAGGTTTATTCAATTCTCAAGGATGTTCGAATTGTAGCTTCAATATAAATACGATCACAGAGTGACATATTTGTGTATGGACCAGGTGCTTTGATTGCAAAAACCGCGCCAGTGCAAGGTAAAGGAACAAGACGTTGAAAATGTTAGGTTAGTGAGCATATCGACAATATTAATAATAGCGATTATTTATTTCTCTCCATACTCCACTGTGTTTGGCTTGATAATCAAATGCGCGTAAACATTATCGTTGTTTGAGACAAAAAACTATTGCTTGACGTGATTATTCAAAAACAAGTTATCCATCCCGAAAATAACGAATGAAATACAGATCCAGTAAGTATGTGAATCTTGAAGGCTTCCCTGATCAAAACAAAAATACTTTACCGAGATGTTTATAATTCCTATACGTAAGTTCAACATCAGCTGCTAGGACCTGAAGTTCAACTTTAGCTCCTAGGAACTAAATATGTTGCCTAGTAACATACCCATTTTGTGAGTCAGTAATAAAAACGTCAATTCAAGAGATAATTTTGGTATTAAAATGGAGGACTTTTGTGTCGGTTGCAGAAAAAAGATGTTCTTCAGAGTTGAAATGTTCGACGTATTTCGGGGGTTCAATAAAAAATATATTCGTAGGTAATATCCACAGAACTCATAATCTTTATATCTTAAGACTAGAAACCGCGATCCTATGGTTTCATACCAAAGGACCCTGCAAATATTCGAGGTGAATTGGGTGCCGGTGGATTTTTCTCAATTTTTGGTATGATCCTTGTATGAAGTAGTTCATATAACATATTTTTATTGAGCCAACCCCCAAAAATGGACAGTTTGATCGAATTGATTATTCCACTCTTGATCTCGAGAACCAATCAGAATCGACCATTTTCACGGTTTCTTCTGTATTCTAGCGATATTTTTTGTTCATTAAATTTTATCGGACTTGGTCTACCAATACAGAAGCCGAATTGACCCACACGTGACCAACAAACCTCGTTTATCAGCGATAAAATTTTGACATCGTGTCTGGTCAAGATTGCTTTGTATTCAAATCTGACACAAGAGACAATAACCTAAGTACCTACTTCATTTTATTAGTTAGTGAGACATTTTGTACGAAAGGCGAGACAATTTCATTCTGGCTGGACGTTTCATGTGAATTTAATAAGTTTGCATATTTGTTGACGGTCTGACAACAATACTAGAATTCAAATTCCCATTTGAAGTAACTTCTTCAGTCACTCAAGTTATTGTGAAGAATAAAATCCAGGTGATGTAGCTCAACTGATAGGGTTGTTGCGCGGTGATACGAAGGTCGGTGGTTCAAGCCCGTCGGCGACAATAATTTTTTTTTAAATTATTTCATGTCACGTAAATTCAATTTATTCTGTTCGAATTGGATAGCAGATGTATACACTCTTTTGAGAGCAACAATCTCCAAGATAATAAACAAATTACTGTTCATCAAAATTGTACATTCCACTTTGTTAGTTACTATAAGTAGGTAGTTAATTTCTAAAAAATTGAATTCTGTATTTCATTACTATCATTATGTTCTTCTTCGCAGTTTGAGTTGGAATATACTTGAATTATGTTTCCTATTTCTTATATATATTGTCTCATTCAATCATGAAATAGTCATACGAATACAACTCGTGATACTATTTTTCCTGGAAATATTCGTCGATTGACATACTCCAGCTTGCTGCTCTAATTTCGCTCATGACATTGATCCAAAACTACTCGCCTACGGCTCGTAGTTTTGATAACAATGTCATTCACGAAATAACTAGGCAACAAGCTGTCGTAACAATCACCGAATATTTCCGGCAAAATATTATCACTTGTGGTATTATATATGAGAAAATGAACGATATTCCAAAACTTTTTATTCCATTTGATTACTTCTGAAAATATATTCTTCATAAAAAAATATAATGGGGGGAATTATTACCCCCAACCCCTATTTTTGATACCGAAAAGAAATTCCATCTAACCGTCAAAAATGATAGGAAATGTTTCATCACGGATAATTATGGTAACCGCATTTTTGCATCATGACCCCTCCACCAAATGAGGGATGCAAATGAAAAAAAAAAATCGGTGGATTTTTGATGACAATCCTAAAAAATGTACAGTTTTTCTGCTACAGGGGGTTTCGATTCACATTTAAAGAATAGACCACCATTTGATTCTGCGTAGAAAGACAACTTTTTTCAATATTGTATTCCTATTCCTTAATGATTTTTCACTCACTTTTGCAATATTTCTCACGCTTTGTTTTATGTAAATAATGAGTCTATAATTTTTCCATATGAATTCTCGTGCACTATTTGTCATCTGACGACTTCTAATGTTCGGCAACATGCAAAATTGTACATGACATGAACGAATTTTTCTGGAATCTGGTAAATATATTTTATAAAAATCCGTTAACGAATGCAGAAGTTACAGTGGTGGCCCAATAGCCTATGTCACCCGAAATGTATTACCAGTCAGCAAATTAAAAATAGAGTTCGTCTCACCTAGAACCCGAAGACCCACCACAACAATCTCTTATTGCACTGGATGGACAAGCGAAGGTTGAATATCCCCCACATTGCAATCGTCGCTAGGTATCCAGGTCGTAGGTTATTGGAGACTTCTTCAGATCGACCATTGGCAACATAACTCCTTCCTGAAGGCAAGAGAATGATATCATAATAAAACAAATATTGATTTTTTTCAGAGGTATTTTAGTGCATTTCTGCGACCTAGAAGTTGTTCGAAATCCACTATAAGCTGAAGGCCCTCCTCTTTCTATAACCCCGCACTAGTTTCGACGTCTATGCTTTCCAACTTCAATATAGATAAATGAATTAAAAAGAGAAGAAATCATCGATATTGTCAACTCGAAGATACACTAAATTACTGAAATTGATGCTGCGACAGGATTCTGGTCATCAACATTCCAGATTCAAAGCATACAAATGGTATACATAGGTTCATATATTCTCCTGTACCCTGAATATCCGATATCGCGCTTCTCTCATCTCTTTCGGTGAAATATGTGGAACAGTTTCGAAGATTTATATTTTTTGTAGATACCACATTATCAGATCAGCTAGTCATCATCTATATTAGAAGGTGATTCATCAGCTGATGTAACAGCCTGGTCAAGAGAAAATCAGGGGCAGAGAATACTCATCAAGTGAAACCATTCATATTCTATCAGATTATCAAACCACCATGACGGCAATCGCATTTGCATTTTTGTTGTACTGAATGAAGGACTTATACATATACCGCAAGATTTGTGGATTAGGAATTGATGATCAAATATAAAAAAATATGCATGTATACATAGATCCTTCACGACCATCCCCATTCACTGAAATTCAAGAATGGAAACTCAACTGGAGAAATCTATGTAGATACCTGATACCACATCCAGTGATAGCTATTTATGTAGCAAAGAAGCAAAGGTATCCATTTTCTCCCGCGTGTGAAGTTTGATGAACACACATGAAACAAAATGAACATTTGCTCCCATGATTCATATAATATATATGATTTTATCCACGCATATATTTGAACGCATCATCCTTGAAATTATGCGTCAGGCGCGGTTTATTCAAATCAGTATGCGAAGCTTTAGTGTGCCATGGACAATCGACGGTATTTGAAGCACTATTTCACTCATCACATAATCTCACCAATCACAAGCCAGAGACAACATTAGCTGCCTTTCAACTCTGATCGGTTTATCAGCGTTGATGTTTTCAACGATGTAACCATTGAAAGAGAAGCAAAGTGTGGATGTAACCATGGATAGCGGAGCAAAGTCTGTCAGTTTGACGTAAAATAAATATGGCTGTGCTTGTCAGAATGAATCACTCATTAATAATGAATGCTTTTGATGCTTCGTGAGCGTGAATAGTTTAGCAAAATACCACTCTGTTCTGAATATGTTTTCATAATTCTGACTTTGATTGTTAACTCAATTGTGTTGCCATCAGCAATACCACTCGTCCTGACGGATTCGTTGTGTTGCTCGGCAACACAATTTTATGAATAATGAAGCGACAGAATTATCCAGAATATTCAGAACATCGTGATATCACCTATGAAAATAAATTAAACAATTCTGTCATAATGCATTTGTTTATTCTTTAACTACATTGGGACGTATTGATCAAGTGAGATTGCAATATGAGGAAGTATATGAGATCTCAATAGGATAGTCCTGCACGATTCGCTGTTGCGTTCCAATTAACAGTGCTGCTCCTAAAGTAACAATACCTACACAGAACACGCAGAAAGAGATGATGATGTGGCTGTGAGCATCAGAGAAGAAGTAGGACGGTGTATGTAGGTGGGTGTGGAAAAACTACCAGCTGAGCGCGAGAGCGGACCAGCTGCTTAGTGGACCTCGGTCTCTAACGGGGGTTAACGATGATAGCTAGCAGGCCTGCCACTATAGCATATGGTAGTGAGTACATTAGTGTACTAGCCTACAAAACACAGCCGAAAAACTCTGAAAGAGAGCTAATGGGCGGTGCCTGGAAAGGATGTTAGCCAGCTCTCTTAAGCGAACCACATCATTCATTGAAAAAACACCTTGGGGCTTGCAAAAAGGTCCCATTAGGGACTATTTGCTGACGTGCAAACGCCCCCCACCAGTACCAGTAATAGGAATTCAAAAAGGAAATTGTTATTTGTATTATAATAGTGATGACATTGATAACTCATATAGTACGGATGCTTATAGGTAGGTATATCTCTGCCAAGCATGCTGAAGCAAATTTATTTTACCATCCACGGGAGGTAATGTTTTTTCATCCCGTGGGAGTAAATTGAGAGCTTTGTGTCCTTGAATGAGGAAGCAAACGCTACTTTCGAATCGGTAAGTAGATGAAAAATATTATTTTTCAATAAAATGTCACTTAGATTATCCATCCTCTCGTTTCCTCAATTCCATATTCTAAATGAGTGATCAATAATTGATTTTCATCAGATCGTTCTCAACTTACATTATATCATGGTATCATAACTCATGTCACTATGAATATATTTCTGAATGAAGTCTAAAATTTTCATGGAAAAAATCTGTTTACAATCTGTATGAATGCCTGCAATCATTTAGGGAAATAATTAAAAGGATTCAACAGCTTTTTTCTACATGATAGTCATTGTGCAGATTGGAATTTATATTCAACGCAGGTGGAATGAATTAATTTTGGCATTAAACTCTGCCTAGCGTTTTCAACGACTCATCCATGAGTACATAATCTGATAATAATGAAATGCCAGACTCACATGTAACCGAATTAACTTTTTATAAATACGAATAGTTTCATTCATCTGATGTTAAACGCATCAGTACATTGCAATAGGTTATGAAATAAAATATATACTTGAAAATAATGTGATTTAATGTTGTTTCATCCACATGACCCATTCGATCATGGGTGCGTGAATCCCCGTTGATTCTTCATTCATGATGATGATTTCAAGCAGATTTTTTTATGGATGCGAGACTTGATGAACTGAATTTTTGAAGCCACATGCGTCACATTCATATGCAAAATAAAGGAGCTTCAATTTTTTTCGCGCCTACCATATATGCAAATTAATCAAATCAACCCTGAGAATGTGACTAAAAGAATCATATAGCGTCCCTTTGAACTGCTCAACTCATAACAACATGAATTTGTAGGATTTCACTATCTGGACACCCTTGATTCGACAGTCATGAACTTGCGTGATGCCTATTTTGAACTTTCACATGAATTTTCATTGAACTTCAATGTCCAGATTTTTGTTGTATTTCCGTATTTTTTTGCGTTTCTGGTATACGTATACGTAAAAAAAAGTTGTGTGTCACAAATGCAGGAGACGCTTTAGCAATCCTAAGCTATATCAAATGCCTTCGCTTAGCGTATGCAGCTGATATCCGCGGGTTCTGAAGCTCATTTTCTGCCCTTGTGACATAATATAGAATATCTTCTCGCTGAATCAGAAGTAGACGCTTGACACCTCATTTCAGAAAGCGAGCTGTCCATTTACTCCCATGAGAGTAAATAAAAACTCACCATGGCAAATATAGACGGCCTGAAGACAATTTGAAGAATAGCGTATTCAAATATATGAATATCATGGGGGCAAAAGTTCCTTTCCACCGATATGTGTCAAAGTTTCGATATATACATATAGGTATTCTCGAATGCTCTTATTCATCAATGAGATGAACAATTCCAATTCTTTCATAGATACCCTCAAGATTGATGAAATGAACCTCTGGTGCGCTCACCCTTCATTTGTTTCGTCTGGTTCTTGATATAAACATCTGAATTTCAGACGATGACGTTGGGTTCACATATTGAATGTTAGATGGCGTGATGTCTAGAACTTATGATCAACATCAGCTCTACCAACCTTGATGCGGCCAAATCGCAAAATGTATTCCCTATCTTCATTGGTCACAATTTGGTCACAATTCTCACATTGATGCCTGTAATTTTGGTACGGCACCAGACTAAACTTTGCGAGATTCACCCACGCCATGTTATGATTATCGAAGTAGGCAAAAATCAAGGAATTGTGAAACATAAAAGGGTTGAAGTGCGTGCACCAGAGGTTTATTTATCAATCCCTCTAGTTCAGCTCCACTTTCAAAAACTGGTGTAGCAAGCCTGGGTTGTTGTGAAAACGTTGGACTTTGTTCCTGAGATAGGTACGGTATCAAAAATTCTACAGTGTGTATTGTAGGTTGATACAAAACTATTGGGAGTTGCCAGGCGACGTAATTTAAAAACTCATTCGGCCCCTAACCTCAGTATAAAATCATACAGTCTTTGAGATATTCGTAATTCTCAGCATGTTCGCATAATATTCGAGGACACCTAGGTAATCATATAAAAATAATTACGTGGTGATGATGAATGATTTCTATGTGTTTTTGAGAACTGAAAGATAAGTTGAATATAATCCAATAATAATCCACTCTTCTGACGGTGAACATTCGAAATATTGATCTCATTGCCAAATAATATCCACTGAATTTCTTAGAGTGCCAAAGGTACATCACCACATGGTTGAATTTTCATAAACAGAGAAAACTATTGGAAAGGGTATAAAGTTACTTTATTTACAACTATATATGTGATTTTGTTATTACTAACGTCATTGACGGTTGGGAAGTGTCATATTACACACCTTCACTTCCCGCCCTCACTTCCGCGCCGGCAGCTAATTACCAAATTATCGCAACTGAGATTCGCAGGAAGCATAAAGTATACACACGAGTGAATTTTCATTAACAAACAAACTGTCGGAAATGATGCGGTGAAAAATTATTAACAAACTAGTGATATAAAGTGACCTTACCATACTAGAGCGGTAAAACAAAACTTTCCGCACGCTGAGAACAGTGCGCGACAACCAGTTTACTCACCCCGTTGAGGTGCGGCAAATCCAAGGCGGCCGGCACGTACGTGGTAGCCGGACTGCACCTGGCGCAGGTCCGCTTCAGCGCTGGCCGCTGCCTCGAGCCGTGACATCGCACGGCGAAGCGCAGCTCCTCGGCCATCTCGGAGCACAGCGACTGCCTGTCGGTCTGCGCGTTCTTCTTGCTGTTCCAGCAGAATTCCAGGATGGCCACAAGGATGGCGAGAGCGAGGCCGCAGAGGAGGACGACGAACACGCCACCTGGGAAATTAGTGTGATAATTAGAACTTTGACCTACGGCCACTATAGAAAGTAGGCAAGAACATAACATGGAAGATGTAGTGTTAGGATTATCTTCCTTTGCAAATCATATTATTGATTCCAGTCATTCTTTCGATGTTAACTCCAATATGGATATTATCCACATTTGTAATAAAGGTCCACGGCTAAACCTCCTAGAAATTTTTGAAATTCAAAAATGTATAAACAATCCAAATTTTAACTGTCTCAATGACCAAACTAATTTTGAACAGAACCACATTTTTCGCACACTTAAATTCTCATGACCATTTTTATCTTACATTTTTACCCAAGCCGACCCTGTTCTATTTTGTTCACCTCCCTGAGTTCTTCTTCTTCTGGGTTAGATCACAACTACTACACCTTGACACTTCTTCTCTTTTCTTGGATTACATATTTATTTATTTATTTTATTTTTATTTATTTATTAAACAAATAACTTCCAGACAGAATAGGCTCTGGTATAAGGAAGTACATAATTATATACCTATAGGTAAACATATCATTATACAAAATATATCAACAACTGTAAATTGACAAACAAAGAATAATATTTGTAAAAAAAAAAATGGCATGTTCAATTTTATCCAGTTCGCTCAGAAATAATCAATTTTTTCACTTCATTTTTGAATGAACCTATGTTTCTGCAATTTTTTATATTGTCAGGTAGTTTATTGAATTCAGTTAAGGCTGAATGAGTGAATCTTTTTTGTCCGATAATGGAGCTAGCGGCGTCAAGATGAAACAAGTTATATTGTCTTGTTTCATGATTATGAATTTCAGAATTCCGTATCAACATAAAATTCGACTTCAATTTTTTATTTATGATATTATATGATATTTTGAGAGTTTCAATTCTATATATTTCATCTAAAGAATACGTATTTGTTATTTCAAACAATTGATTGGTTGGTGTATCAAATGGGAGACGATACAATACTTTTAACGATTTTCTATATAATGTTGATATTTTATTGAAATTGTTCTTTGAACAAGTTCCCCAAACATTTATTAAATAGTTGATACGACTCAGTATATTATTATGAGAGTAGAGAATCATGTTTGCAATTTTAATATCAAGTTTGGGACATCTTCTCAATGCACCAATAATTGGAGATATTTTTTTTGTCAGAACATCAATATGTTTGTCCCACTTCAACCTGTCATCAAACCAAATTCCAAGATATTTTATCTGGTCAGTTTGTTTTGAGAGTTCATTTTTCATATCATTCGGCCTTCCTTACCACTTATTTCTCCTATAGGTTGTTTAGACATAACGAATGTTGTAATAATTGATTCATTTTTCAGAATCTTACTGCAACATTATCATAACTCAAAATTGTAATCTTATATTGTGCATGTCATTTGGGTTTTTATCAAATGTCACTATCATTTGTCCTGTAATTCTGTCAACGTCTGTTGCTATGCTTGACATTTCGTTGCCATCTTAAGATGAAACTCCTTTGAGTGAATTCATTGCTGGTTTTTCTCAATTTTTGCCAATGTTGAATCTAATTATTATCAGGTTCATTTGGCTGTTCAGTCGATTCCAAAAAAAAAGTATCAATTTTTTCACCGGATTGAATTGTTGACCAAATGACCCTGCTATTCAAATTTCAATTAATTTAATTATGTGATTCCACGTGTCCTTTTATAGGTATGTTTTTTCCTCGATATGTCATATTATTCTTGTAAACCAATATCTTTACAGGTACTATATATTGTGTCTGAAGATGGCTACTTGAGCCGAAACTAGTCACAAAACTTTTGTAATTAAACTTTGTGGTCGACCGACTAAGTGTTTGTGTTTTTTCCAATTTTAGAATTAGTTATAGTTCCATTTTACCAAATCGCAATTGTCATGAAGAATCAACAACATATATTATGCAGGTCATTAATCGAAATTTCTGTCATATTTTCTCTGCATAGAGGTATGTATTGTCGACTCTTCATGGCAACTGCGATTTGATCAAACCAAATTGTTACTGAGAAACTCGAAGCACCAATTGTTGAAACGTGGTTCGACTCCAGAATTTGATGTAGCTGTCGGATAGTCGATTGAATACAGCTGCCAGTCACATTATAGACTAACACAAGTGAAACATGAAAAAAATCGATGAAAATATCTGCAAATTTAACGCCCTGTATCTCGCAAACGAAGCTTTCCACGATCTTTATCGTTCATGGAAACTTATTGCATTTTCTCGATACACATAATAAGAAACACCCAGTATATAAAAGGTTGTGTCAAGATTTCCATTGAACTAAAGACATCTCTCTCAATATCGAAGCCCAGTTACTATTCTTTCAACTCTTCTTTGTGGTACAAATTATCCATGGATGTCTGCATGACCCCAGGTAATGAATGAAATTCTTGGATGAAATTTCATTAAAGAATATGGATACAAAAAATCCAATCGTTCTTGAGTTATTGCGGAAAAACATTTTCTATCTCTTAACTTCAACACCCTGTGTCTCTCGAGAACCGGGCACTTGACTCCCGACCTCAGTCGTTATGAAATCGCGAAAGCTATCACCTTTGAAGTGTTGTCGGTCGTATTTAGAAACACCCTGTATAATATTATAAACTATTCTCCTGAGAAGCTTGCCAAACTGAATGAATCGCAGCGAGAACTCAATTTATCGCCCATAGACAGGCAGAGAAATAAAGTTGCACCTTCGAAATCCTGAAACTTCGGCGAAATACCTGTTGAATACGAAACGTCTGTGTTGGTTTTCCCAACGGGAAGTTAGGACACGAAAAATGGAGGAAACTGTAGGCAACTATTTCACCGGACAAACTTATTTAACTATCAAAATAAGCTGCGACTGGCGGTGAAAATTCCGGACGCGTGTTCCCTATGTTGCTAAAGTAGAAATCCGGATGGAAGTCTTGATATACACGGGGGTCTAAGATTGTCTTCCAATATTTCTGTGACTGATTGTACATGAAAAAATGAATGTACTGTTTTCGAAATATACCGGGTGATAAATTGTATCGAGCCACCTCTGTCAGTAAAAGTGAAATATGCACTTCCTTTCAATTCTAATTGAACTATAGAAGCCATGACCATTGTAGGGATTAACACCCTCCATATTATTCCATAGTGATTGTGATATTGAGAATAGACCTAGGAATTGGGAAAAAAAATAAGGCGTTATTGACAAATACCAACTATACAGAATCTAGTGCCATTTCGACGAATCTTTATTGAAATGACGAAAACTCCTTTGGTGGAAAACTGAGATAGAGTATCCAAATAATGGTAGGTTCTATGGCTAGTGATAGGAAAACTCATTTATTTACGTGTATACCAAGGATCAACTTTTCATAATTTCAATCATTGATAGTTCGAACATTTCAGTTGATCACTCAACCTGTAATTTTTTTTGGAAAAATGAAGATCAAATGGGGAAAGGAGAATTATTCAGAATGAACACCACAGGGGAAGAAGGGGGAATGTCACAAAAAGTAAGTATCAAGAAGTTCAAGTTTGAAACCTCCTTCCTTTTTGCAAGTTGGACTGAAATCAAACCACCTGGACTCATTTGATGAAGTATAATGAGTAATAAAGTTGAACAACTAAAAATAAAAATAATATCTGGATGAAAAAATTATCGAGAACGAGACATAAGTCCAAAGATTCGAAGGAGAAATGGAGAATGTCCAAATGAATTTTCCAAAAACTGGATTGTTTAATCGCAATTTTCTGCTCTGGTACATTTCTCCATTTTTGTCTGACTACCTAATGAGCATTAAGTTGTCTTATAGTACATTCAGCATCTCTAAAATTCGATCATCTTCTATAAATTCTACGTGATATGAGTAGGAATCATCATGTAGCAATCTCATTATCTTATTCCCATCACTCAGACGTACTGGACAAGCCCAGTCAGCACACCTTTGTGTCATCAACCTCGAAATATATCGAACAACTCTTTACCAAAACAGAGTATTCCCAAGAACTTATAATCTCCAAAAGTTGAAAAAAATCCCATAACCTACCTCCTCTCCCTATCCTCCCTGGGTACCCACGATGTTACCCGAACATTATAGGAATTCCCTTTCGTACTTTCCGAGAGATGATAAAAAGGTGGTTGTATCCCTTTTTTTCTCATTTTTTGTTTGCCTGGCCTGATAGTTCACTTTGACCTTTTGACAGTGTGAAAACAACCTGTTAAAATCACAATGGAATCTGTATTCAAGCAACCACTAAGCTTGGACAGTTTTGGAGTGGACATTCCGCGTTTTTTCCATGTCAACGTTTCTTCGAACTAGCATATTGCTATGGACTTCTGTTTATACTGAAATATAGTGGTTTGGCTATCAGATGGCGGTGTCAGGTCAATTTTCACCATATTGTGACATTTCCCCTTTTCCCCTGTGGTCTTCAAATGCAATTGCTCCAGAAAATAAGAGGAATTTAACGATGTAATGTTATAAAAGGGTATTACATTTCGAGGAGATGAAGTTGATGATATTCACGGTTCAATCGGAAGTCATAACGTATCAAAAACTGTTCAAGATGATGCCATGATATTAGTTTCTTCCACTCACCGATATTTTCCACTCCGAGAGCGTTCGCCTTGGACTCCTTGCTTTTGTCGTCCCGATTGCACACGTCTCCGGTGTTCTTCCACCACTTGTCGTACAGGATCTGGATGACACCCTTCTCCTGCAGCTCCAGGATGGCCAGCGAGATCCTGTCCCGCCACGGGCTGCCCTTGGGCGTAGCTATGCCGTAGCCCTTCGAGTCCAGCAGCCCTCCGATCTGCATCAGGTTGCAGTCCCTCTGGACTGCGTAGTCCAGCATCGTGGACTCCATGAGGAAGGCGTAGTCCCCTTCAAGGACTCTCTGTTGGGATAAAAACGAAGTCATTTATTCATTCACTTATGGAATATTCTGAAACATTGTATATGGAACATACTGTCTGGAATGGTATATCTGAAATATTATATCTGGAACATTAGATATGCAACATTCTAGCAATATTCAGGAACAACCTGACCAGTTTTGGCCACTGAGGGTAATGTAATCGAATGCCATTATTCATATCTCTTCATCAAAACACCTCATGTTCCATAAACCGGAACTCCATTCTTGGATGGCGAATGGGAGGTTACAAAACCATATAACTCTCGAAGGAGTTGTTGGGTTGAGTTGTAGAGCTATAGGAGCATGCACGGAAAACCACGACTATATTCATTGAATAATAATACCAAGCCAGTACGATTCAAAAATAGTATTCTAAATGGATTCACTTTCAATAGTTTCTCACCTTAACGCCTTCTTCGTATGTTTTTACAAAAACTTGGGGTTTTCTGCCTTCCATGAACCGCCACATCTTCTGATATATTCCAATTTTTGAATCCTGCAACGAAGAAGTCATTTAGTACGGAAAATAATCAATTTTGGAACCAGTAAGTCGTCATCAAATCATAACTTCAAAATATGTCGAATAAATATCTACCAACACTCGTTTGTTCATAAAACGGCAAAGTTATAATATAAATGATGTTTCATGAACATGATAGGGATTCATTTCACGCGCTCCAAGAGATTTAACAAAAAATAACTATTCCTCGATTGATTTTTGGAATGAAGTCACAAAGTAGTCTAGATTTTCGTACCTACATTGATTTAGAGAGACACAGACTTCCCTCTATCGATGAAAATACCTCTGAAAATGTACCTTGACTCAAAAACAGGGCGAAAAGATCGATCAAAAATGTTTTTTCCTCATTCGATAGATAAAGATGTGATAATTTTCAAATTTAAAATTGTTCCTTTCTGTTTTAACTCGTCATAAATACTAATAGAAATCCATATGCGCCGAAACATGAGATGAATATTTTTGTCTCGGAAATGAGTATGACAACACTTGAGGCGGATTCATGCAACACTCATCATAATTACATTTTCACTTCATTATAATTACATTTTCACTAGCCCCGAGGTACTCGTTCATGCAACTTATGCTCCTAATGAACTAATTATTTGAGGTTATGTGATTTGCTCGAATTTTCCAAATGTTCACAGGTTATTTAAGGATATGTGTTTATTTTAAATATTGTATCTGAGAATAATCACAAATTGTTTTTGTGAAAAAAATTGTCATTCCAGTGATCTTATCTTGCAAATCAGTCGTTTTCACAAGAACTATAATGTAATTATAATGTATAGTTGAAAGTTGGCCAACTTCTCAGTGCAATAATGTAATGCAAATGTAAAGAAAATGTTTCAATGTGTTGCATGAACGCAAAATGGGCATTTTTTATGGAAATGTGTGATTCTTGGTTGTAATCCTGGCAGCATCTCGTTGACCTAGATGTGGTTCGAATTCCTCTATAAGCTATAAGCTGTAGACCCCCCTCTTCCTAACACCGTATACAAAATTCGACTTTTCTGGGGAGTTGGTACTGAACTTCGAAGTAGCGATATACACATTTTACAACATTTTATTGAAAATTCTGAAGAATTTGCCCCTATCGCGGGATTTTCATTCATCTATAATTAAAATATTATTTGCGCATGCATGATGAAGGATTAGGTATACCGGCTTCGAAAATTCTCAAAACTTCGAGAATACGATTTATTGATATTCAATACAAAATAAACAACACATTATTATTCAATTACCATTCTGATACATCGTGACGGCAATAGACCATTGTAGAAATATTGCACAATAAAGAAAGAATCGAAACTCATGAGAAGCATCTACCTCAACAAAAGGAGGAAAGAACATGTTTCATTCTGTTGACAATTTGATGAGCCAATATATCAGGAAAAAATAGGCCACTTCTCGTGAGAAGAATATATAGAAGGGAAACAATGTTGAATCCGAGACGATTGGTATTCTTTCAGTTGAAAATCAACAATGTCTCTATAACGTCTTGGAGAAATATACGAAAGTCATCCTCAACCAATGATCTCATAGTATTAAACTACTAGATAGTATGTAGAGAGAGAGGTATTGATGAAAACACAAGAGTGAGAGTCCAGACGCATATACAGCTTTGTTCTAAGAGGGGTAATTCATGGCGCTGGGGTGACAGATAGCAGAAAAGCGCCACAGGCGAAATTTATTTCTCGTCCAATAGGTCGAATGCCTTTCAATTGACCATTGGGTTCAAATTCAGTTTGTTTCAATCATCTAGAAATAAAAATTTCCTGGAGGCAAAAAAATCAAATTATAAATTTCGAGTTTACATCCACTAAAAAACGAATGCTCGAGTGTAATTTGGTATGACATCACATTAATAGATGGATTTTGCAGTTTTGGCATTTTTCAGTTGTATAGGAAGAAATGGAATAGATACTAGTTAGGTACGCGTTGGATGAAATAAGAGTTATTCTGGAACCAATGGTAATTTTGATTGGAACATTCTTCGATCGTCTGGGATGGGGGGGGAGGGGCGGGGGTGGTATTTATTAGGATTCAAATTTTGATCTACCATGCGATTGCATTGTGAATGTGATATCTGGAGTTATTTTCATAAGATTTGAATTTCAAGTGTGGATTTATGTATGTACAACACAAGAGTGTTAGAGCACAAAGACTCAGTTTTTGGTTTTATTCGTCTAGTAATGAATATTTGGACTCATTGTAATTTCGAATCAAACTTTTATCGCGCCTAAACGAAGATGTGGAAAACCAACCAATGAATTTGACAAACAAGAGAGAGAGGCAACGAGTTCTTGTTCTTGTTGCACATGCAGGCATGTCAATGGGCCTACCTCAGACCTCTTTTGTATGCGAATTTCAATGCTTTGTCAGAACGGTAAAGCTAGAGATGATTCATTGCTGATTATTTATTCGAAATATTCAATATTCCTTGAACTGACGATTCATTAGGAATATGGAACGAGCAAGCGTTGCAAGATCGAAGGTTGCAAGAGTTGCGCATATGGTTGTTGTGAATCTATTGTGTTCTCGGTTGTCACTCATTCGGCGAACTGTCAACTTTGACGCGTTAATTTCAATTCGAAAAAAGATTCATCAGCATGAATCCGGATCAGGAAGCTTGAGATTCCGATATAAAAATTACCTGCTATATTCATGATAAATTGGTTCTTATTTCTTTTTTCGAGTAAAAATAAAATTTGAAATAATATTTTTTCCACTTTACCGCACTAGTATCTCATCACGATACTAAAATCAGTGTCGTTATGTTTCACATTACATATTGGTAGTGGGTAAAAGGCGTTTACTCAGATATAGAGCTCTGGAATCAAATGTTTTTGAATTCAGCTGATTCTAGAACATACCAGCCCATAGTTTTCCTTGTTTCTACAAGAAACCCGAATGATCTTCCTGATCAGGAAATCGTGAAAAAACTTGAAGATCATTCATGTCCTGAGGAGAATATATTAGTTGTCCAACATAAATTCACCAGCAAGAAGATCAGTCAGTTGCTGATTTTGTAGCACTACTCCGACAGGATATTGGTGATTGTGAATTTATATCTACCTGTCTCTGCAGACTCAATATTGCAGATGTATTTCTACTAGCACAGTTTATAATAGGGCGTTGAGAAAATTCAATACGGGAAGAAAAAACTACAATCTGGCACAACAACTTTCGATGATATTGTTCAAAAAGCTCTAGCCATCGAAGCTTCTAAAGTAAACAGCCGTTTAATGGGCTCAAGACAACTTTCGATATCAGAATCTTCATCCACTCAAGATGTGGACAAGGTTTCACATGCTCCTCGTTCTGAATATCCATTTTCTTATCGAAGGAAATCACGACTTGATTATCGACACCTAGGCATCAGTGACGTATGTATTAGATGTTCTTCAAATTCACATAAGGCGCAAGACTGTTACGTTGATCCAAAGAAGCTTTATCGCAAATTATGTTCAACTACAAGTCAAGTACAAGAAGTTTGCACCAAGGGCACACAGGTTACTCGAAAAACGGTTTCCTTTGCGCCTGACACGAAGCCAGCTGAGGAAGATTCTGAAGATCCCCAGGAGAATCCAGTGTATCTACCGAGCCTCCAGATTCCACCAATGGATATTTTGACGCTTCCAGAAGCCATTAAATTACCAGGAGATAATCCAATTGACCAACTTCCTGAAGGGCAACAAGAGCCACCAAGGCGATCTGGACGTGACCATCGATAACCAAGTCACCTCAAGGATTTCGTTTTGGAAAGACGTGTTCCGAATAATCAGTGAAGATTGTAGATATCAGATTGCAATTATTATGTTCAAAAGTTTTGTTGAGTATCCCGATTCCTTATGACTATCCTAGCTTTCCAATAGTAGGGAAGAATTGTTATAACTTACATACCCGAAACATCCGTTATATTTGGGGGATACTTCGACCTGACAGACAGTCAAGTGATAGTATATTACGTAATATGTGTTGTAAGAAGCATATTACGCACGGATGGAAAAGTTAATTCCATGAGTGCGTAACTGCTTTACAACATGCATCACGTACTATAATTTTTACCTACTACCATATAGAACATCAAGAAAGTTTGGACGAACAGTCTGAATTATAATTCTTGACTGTTATGTCATCTGCTGTTGGCGGCGATTACGCGATCATGACATACCTATACTGGCGGAATAAACGAAAACTGTGCGATGTGCTTACTGTTTGTAAAGAGCTACTTACTGAGGCTGTATCTCGTGTGTTCTTGCCTACTTTCTATCGTATTGAAAATACGCGAGCATTTTATTCAATATTCCCAACAGAGATGATGTCCCCTTTGCAAATATTCAAACGTGCCGAGGACCAAATGGATCTAAGTTAGTGGTAGAGTGTCAATTTTTCCGAGAATATTCCGAGAAAATCCGATCATATTGATGATTATTCATACTGGTTCAAATTTGGTACGAATCGCACGAATAATAACAGAGGTATAAAGGGGGAACCGTTTGGGATGAGAATCGTTATTGTTGGATATCTTTCAATGAAACTATAGGTACAGATCAATTTCAGAGGACGCCAATTCCAGTAGTATCTAAAAAAATTGCTCATGTGGATTCTGGAATTTTCAGCCTCTCAATGTGATCTAATAGGCCTTGGTTTTGAAAGAAAGTGGAAGCCGCTTATCTTCAGCAGTCTCCATTATACACCTTTCCACCTTCTACTTAAAAAAAAAATCGTGGAAATCGCATTATGAATAAGAAAATTAAGAGGGTGGCCCGCATTCAAATGGATCACTCTGATTACTCTTGAAAATATCCAATTCATTTCATACTTTACGGGCACACTGTATAGTGCTATAAATCCTCCAGATAATGTATTCAATTAGGGAAACGGTCAATTTTACAGCATCTTGTAAGCTCGTATAACAGTTCGATCGCTAGGATAATCGAAAAATTTATCATGGGACTTCTTTGCGATGC